TTTGTCACACAACGAAAGCGTAGAGCGTCAGTTCAGTGTATTCAGCTGGAAATTGTAAAAAAGACTTCTAAGACCAGGTTAAAATGGTAAAGGTTTACTTATTATTAACAATTCCGCCAAAATATTTAGATTTCCTAGTGGATTATTTTCATTCTGAAAAAAGAAAAAACCATACTCTGGGAAAGTCTTTTAGGGGGCGAGACAGAGAGAGCAGACCATGACATTGTGGCTTTAGGCTAATCCGCCCATCGCATGTTGACTGTTTTTTCACGTTACCATAATGCGCTCACTTACTTGTAAAACTTAGTCTCTTAATGCTCCACTATAACGAAACATAAGCTGAAAGCTTCTAGTCTCCAAATTTATTATCAAGAATTCGAGTCCAGAAAAGGAAGCGAAAAGACATAAGTTGTGAAAAAGCTAGTTGATCACTTTTGAAATATAGTTTCCCCCTTTACGACAAACTTTAGCAGCATTGTTTACGTAGTAAACCTTAAGAATATGCCATACACTTAGTTTAGTTTTTTATTCGGCTCTTATGCAGGCGACGTCAGTGAAAAAGAAAATATTAATACAAGCTCAAAGTTAAATAATTTTGCAATAAATATTCCTTGATTCCGTTTGATGAAATGTCTAACTCTAGTCGATCTCCCAACGCGAAGTGTTTTTCTTTTCCATTCTCTTGACAAGGTAAGCTTAACAGTTGCATACAGAACATACCTAATGAGTTTAAGCACAACCCGTGTTCCCTTTTTTTTCTTTTTGTATTGTTTTTGCTTTTTCTAATTATTTTCCGTTTTTTTTCCACGCAAAATATGATCACTTGACTTGTTGATGTACTTTGAAGCTCCCAATGAGTGATTCCAGAAAGTAATTTGTTCCTTTTTTTGCGGCTTTTAAATCCAACCGCTGATTAACGAGTATTTATTCAACAGTTAGACACCACTAGCGGGTGTTCCACCCCATCACATGACCGTACAGCATGATACATTCCTCCTCAGCTTACAGATCCGAGGGAGTACGGTCATAAGACGAAGTGCAATCTCTTCAGTCACGTCGAGCCGATGTACCATGATCCATTCTTCTGCAGGATTCTGAAATGAACTTTGTAAACTCTGCGCAGTACTTCCATTCCGTGAATTTTGTTCTTCGCGTATGGCGGGCTCTTCCTCTGCCGTCAATGTATTTTCCAATTCATTGCTTTGGGTAGGGGTGTCCACTTCGTGTTCACCCCCAGGAACTAGTTTCGCATTGCCTTCGTTTCCGTCTCGTAATACCCCCGTATCCGAAGACACTCCTTCGTTAATAACTCGTACTTCTTCGTCTTCGGTATCGGGGTCGGTAGTAGTTTCCATCAGCCCTTCTACTCCAGATGTCTCAATTTCCGGAGGTATTACGTGTACCTCGGCAATGGCTTGTATTTCGTCATCTTCGGTATTTGCATCGGTTCCCGATGTGTCGCTTTCTGACAATTCATCGTCTTCGGTAAACGGATAGGCCAAAGCAGTGACCACTGTAAGATCCGAGTCGTATCCGTCAAGATGGCGGTGGCGACTTTCAGATTTAGTTTCACTTGTCTGCCTTTGGATTTCGGTGAAGGTATTCCCCTCGTCGCTGCTGCCTTTGGTTTCTTCAGCCTTAGTTTCTTCTTCTTTATTTTTCTTCGCCTGTTCGTCAATAACAACTCGTACTTCGACTACACGCCCTCCTAGACCTTCAGCAGATGTTTCAATTTGTTTAGCTTCGCGTGCAATAATCTCTTGAGAAATTTCAACGTCAGCTTTGACTTCCTCCTGTTCATCGGTTTTGTTCTTTTGTGGCGACAACTCTTTGTTTCCTTCACAGTTCAACTCATCAGCGCTATTTTCTTTCTCTCGATTGCGCTCTTTTGTTGTCCCATTCTCTAAATCGTCTGCCACGTTTGATTTTACTTCAGATGTTTTTGCGTCTTGCTTTACTTCAACAACCACAACAACATCAGCTGTTTCTCCGAGCGCATCTTTGTCTTGGATCTCAATTTCATGATCTTCCCTCTGCCTTTTCAACTCTCGATTGCTATCTGTTAACTCTTTCTTTCTCTTTACTGCTTTAGAATTTTCTTCGCATTCGGTCGATTTTTCTTCAGTATCTTTTTGGGCGACACTTTGTTCTTCAACACTTTCCTCCAATCCAGAACATTCACTCTTGTCTTCCTCCTCATTCCTCTTTCTGGCTCCCTTATCTGCGTTTACAGTTTTTTCATCCCCTTTCGTTTTTTTCTTCCCATGTGGAACAGAACTTGGATTCGTAAACTTCCTCAATGAACGACGCAAAATATTCTCTTTCTTCTTTTTCTTCAGTGAAAGTTCCGTTGTCACTTCATGCGCCTTTGCGGAGCCGTCTTCCTTTTCTGCGTTGCTCTCTTCGTTTTCGAGAGAATTACCCTGTTTCTCTTCAACAGAGCCCGATTTCTCCTCTGCTGTTGCATCTTCTTCCTCCGCTACAATCGATTTGCGTTCTTCTCGGTTGTTTGAAATTTTCTCTTCACAGTCGGCTTGCTTGCGTAGTGCACCGCCATCCATAAGGTTGACGTCATTAGTTTCTTTGCCCACACCAATTTTAGCGCTCGCGTTAATTTCACTTTTTTCTTCGTCTTTTTTACTTGATTTTCCTTTTGGTTTTTTAAGACTTTGTTTGTTGCGCTTGAAGCTTAGAACCGTCACTTTTTTCTTCTGCTTACCAGTCTCTTTCTTCCTAAGGTCCGCTTTTTCTTCTCTCTCATCATCTTTCTCATTCGATTCACCTTTGTCAGCAGCAACAGGTAGTTTGAGCGAAGTCTCCTCCACGTCCATATCCTGACGATCTTCAGGGCTCTCGAATTTTTCAGATCGCTCCCCATGGCCTTCGCATGCGTCAGTGTTAAAGGTCTGGCTGACATTGTACTTGCCTTTTGTGGTTTGACGGAAACTTGCAAATTGCTTTATATTCATTCCTTTGTTGTTCGTCGCTGTGGACTTTTCGTTTTGGACTCCCTCGGGAGAAGTAAACGGTTCTCTGTTTTCCATCTCCACCGAACCTTCAACAGTCTCGAATTTCGCTTCGTCAGCTTTATCCGCTCGTTTGTCACAAATCTCATCCGTCTTCTCCTCGAAGATCTTCGGATCCTCTGCGATAGTTTCACATTTCAAAATTTCAACACGTTTTTCTTCATCGAGTGAGGCTTTGCGTTTGGAAATTTTACCTTTCTTAGAGCGGCGAAAACTTAATCTCCCCTTTTTGGTGCTGTTGGTTTGATCAGGTTTGAGGGTTTGTTTTTCATTGCTCTTTAACTCTTGAGTTCTTTGTGTCTCCTGTTCACCTTGGCTTTCTTTGTTCGTACTTTCTTTAGCTGTTTCCTTTGTCGTTGCGATTTTCTTGCTGTCCTGTGAGGCGCTTTCTTCTCGGTCAGTTGCCGTTTCACTTGCTTTTTTCTCCGCAAAGATTTCTCCTTTTCCTGCCGTATTCATCTCAGAATTATCGACAGTATTTTTTTTGTCGGGAACAAAATAAGAACTTTCCTGACCTTTAAACCCGCTCTCCAAACGTCCATTAGATTGTGCTTTTGTTGCCTCTTCTCCGCCCTGCGTTTCTGGCGTCGATTTTCGGCCGGGTTCGTCTTTGGCGCCGAAAAGCTGCTTGTCGATTCCACTTGTTTGCGAACTCTCTGCCATTTTAAATACGAAATTTAAGAAAGATCCTAACGCTTGCGTTACAAACTTGTCTTAACAGAAATGATTAGAATTATTTTAACTGAAAGAGAGATATCAAATCTGTCCAATGATCGTCACAGGGACAGTCACGTGACGCATATGCACGTGAAATTAACGAGTGTTTTGTACGAGAGCTTTATCAGCTTGGCATCGAGTTTTTCGCGTCGTC